TTTTTATTGATTTCAGAGAGGAAGGGAGAGGGAGAGAGAGAGATAGAGACATCAATGATGAGAGAGAATCATTGATTGGCTGCCTCCTGCGACCCCCACAATGGGGATCAAGCCCACAACCTGGGCATGTGTGTGTCCTGACCAGGAATCCAACTGTGACCTCCTGGTTCCTAGGTCAATGCTCAACCACTGAGCCACGCTGGCCGGGCAGTAAATCTATTTTTAAACTGTTTCTCAGAGCACCTTCTTCACACGGTCCTGGGGGTACTGTTGGATTGGTTTCCTAGCTCCTCTCCCTACTCACTTACGTGTCAGAGTCTAACCATAGCCAACGAGAGAAAAGCTACCTCACAGACACGCTGGCTACATGCTTGTTTTTACTGTCAGAGCCACGCTTGCTTTCTGCTTTCCTAAATAGCACATAGAAAAACTAGTTTAAATCAGCTTTAAGTCTCTTGGGATCCCTGCATTTTTCTTGCTGTGTTTTCAAATAGCCAGTCATAATCTCTACTATTTGGAAAGCTTGGGTTCCTAGTTCAATATTTATGTTTCCTCACAGTTTTGGACAAGATTACTGTGTTGTTTTTTTAACCCAGCGGCCAGTGAATTACCATTGAGTTTATATTTATCCTTGATTTTGTTATCCCAGATTCATTTTGTAGAGAAAGCCCTAAACTTGGCCTTCTATTACCTTTTATTTAAAAAAATTTTTTTCACTTGTCAATCCTCACCCAAGGATATTTTTTCATTGATTTTTAGAGAAAGTAGAAGGGAAGGGGAGAGACAGAGAGAGAGAAACATCAATGTGAGAGAGACACATGGATTGGTTGCCTCCCACAGGAGCCCCAACCAAGGCCCGGGATGGAGCCTGCACCCCAGGTAGGTGCCCTTGACTGGAACCAAACCCGAGACCCTACAGTCTGCAGGCTGGCGCTCTGTCCACTGAGACAAACCGACCAAAGTACCTTTGCTGCTTTTACCTCTAAGACCTTGAGATGTTCTCTGTGTGAGCCCACGAGCCCTGAAGAAACACCCTCCAGATTGAGAAAACGTCCTATCAATTGTTAAAGTCTCAAATGCAGTCCTTTCCTCAGGCCCCAGAATTACAGAGCATCCCAGCCTCCCCTCCGCAGTGCCCTCCCCCTCCCCCACTGAACCAGGGAATTCGTGTTTCACAAATAAGGCCCTTTGAAGGTCTGCTTGCTCCCACCCTCACCCTCGCTGCTTTCTCTCAATGGCCACGTCAGGGGCCCATCATTATCTGCCGGTGGGGGGCTGGAAATGGCTTTAATCCCAGCCCTTCTGGTGTTTCACCCAAGAAGGCAAGGTTATAGGAGGGTGTGCAGGAAGAGGCGGGGTCACGCAGTGCTACACTCTACACATAAGCTTCATAAATAATGGCTCAATTGAGAAAAGGAGCAATTCTGGGATTTGGGAGATGACAAGGAGTAAGATGAAGTAGCCCCGATAAAGGCTTTATGAAAGCAGCCATTTTAACAGATTGTTTAGGCAGAGGGCCAAGTCGATCTTCGAAATTATTGTGCCGGTAGCAGCCCGTGATGCCACGCTGGAGGTATACGTTAGAGCTGTCCATTGCACCCCCTGGACTATACATTCCTTGTGGTCAGGGACCATTTTAGAACTGATAACAGTGCCTAGCAGAGTGCTCAATAAATAATTACCGAATGAGTGAGTGAGGGCGAATGAAATTCTTGAACACACACACTACCTTTCCCTTCCTCCGCCTCTTCAGCGGCCATGGATGTTCTCTGCACAGCTGACTCCCGATGCCTACCCCAGAGTCCTGCACAGGGATTCTCGGCAAATATTGGGTGACTGGTTGCCATAGAACATCACACGCTTTTTGTATGATCAAAGTATGTGTGTGGAAAGTCATGCCCCATAACCAATCTTCCGGGGTACATGCCTGAGTTGAGGCTATAAACAGTGTATTGTCTTCTTGCCTCTTCGTGTGGGTGAGAAGGTGGAAATGATTCTGTGTTCCTTTGATTACAAGTTCATTCCAGGACCGGATCTGGAGTTGGGCGGCACAGTCAATTCCAGGAAGTCTTGCAGGTGATAATGTTGCAAAACAAAGCAAAAGAACAGCTGTTTTCTAGCCTTTGTGAGCAGTTATAGCTACTTTTATTTCCACTCTGTGAGGCAGTTTGGTTTTAAGTTATTTGCTTTGAAGTTAAAATTAAATTTATTCTCATTATTCCAACATACCTTAGATTGTTTAAGTTCCATAGTCTATTCTCACACGAATAAAAGCAAACATAAAATGTCTCGTACCTCCGCTATTTCTATTTGTGTTGTATTATTTGTGATATTGAAATTGTGTGCTTTTAGATGGAACGTTTTACGCTGTTATTTGATCTACCAAAGAATCCAAACATTGTTTCCCACGTGCACTGACTGGAAAAGAATTCTGGGCTATCTGGGGGTCTGTGGACATCATTTGTTAAATGAAAAGGAAGGTTAATCACTTTTTTTTCCAAATAGAAAGAGCTTTAGTGTTTTTCTGATTATGAAAACTACACAGTCACTGAAAAAAGAGGTCAGGAACAATAAAAAAGAAAGTAAAAACCCTATATAATTCCGCGTTCAGGTTATTGTGCTATTCATTGTAGGGTATGTATGTCTAGGCCTTTTCTCTGCATATATAGTCCTGCCAGTGCAATTTTTTAAAAATTGAAAATGGTATCATTCCACAGATATGGTTTTAAAATGTGTTTCTCCCCCTTGACAACTTTGAGATTTTCAGGGAGAAAAACGGGGAACGTGAATTTTAGGAAGTTTTGCTTTCTAGTGTATAGAGTGGTCTAATTTCCCCTTCGCACCCCCATTAACACAGCTTCTATAACAATCTGCATTACTCTTTGAATCGGTCAGGATTCCGTCAAAGGACACAGAAACCATGCTGGCTATTTTAAGCAGAAAAAGATCTGTTTTTTAAAGATGGGTGTTGTTTACGGGATTGTTGGGAGGTCCAGAAGAGGGGACCTTTCTAGGCTGTTCCTCCAGAAATAGGTCTGAACTGGGGCACTCGGCGGCCAGGGCAGCTGCCCCTTCCCTATGACCAGGAGACAGGGAAGCGGAGAGCAGCCAGCGGAGGGCTGCCCGTGGCCCCGGACCCCCACTGACAGTCACTGCCGCTGCTATTGGCCCCAGAGCCACACGCATCTGCTTGGCCCACACCATCCCTCCTGCTCTGTGAACTCACCGTTTCCCACTTGGTGCATTTGCACCGAATCCTCCCTCCTCCCAGACATGCTGCTACCACACCTTCACTTGCTGTAATTCTTTTCATTCAGGTCTCACTTTAACTGAGACCTCCTTGGAGGGGCCTGGCCTGGCCATCAGCTGTGATGTCACTTCCCGGTCACTCCATCTCGTCACACTGTTGTATTTTCATCATAGCATCGATCAATGCCAGATACCTTTCATTTGTGAATGTGCGCGTCTGCTTTCCTTCTCCGCACTGGGAGCTCCATGGGAACAGGAGCTTCATGTCTTTTGCAACCCTTTCTCCAGTGAATGTGTGTTTGATGGCGGAATAAACTAAGCATTGCAGTTTTTTCATCGTTACCATCTGGTGGGTGAAGCGTGGGCTTCCCATGAATGACTTCTCTGGGTTGGTGAGGCCGAGCATCTTTGAAAACAGGAAGCCTTTCCTGTATACAAACGCTGAGAGGATCTAGAGCAGTGGTTCCCAATGTGGGGCACACACCCACAGGGAGGCAATTTGTTTTTTAAGGGGGGCAATTTGAGTGAATTTTTGGCATTTCTTAGGGTCCTAGGGCAGTGATGGCGAACCTATGACACGCGTGTCAGAGGTGACATCCAAACTCATTTTTTTGGTTGATTTTTCTTTGTTAAATGGCATTTAAATACATAAAATGAATATCAAAAATATTAGTGTTTGTTTTACTATGGTTGCAAATATCAAAAAATTTCTATATGTGACACGGCACCAGAGTTAAGTTAGGGTTTTTCAAAATGCTGACACGCCGAGCTCAAAAGGTTCACCATCACTTTTCGAAGGTCCTCTTATAGCATACCCTCCTATATAATAAAAGGCTAATATGCAAATTGCCCCCTAACTGGGAGTTCGACCAGGGGGCGGGGCCGGCCAGCCAACTGCCAGCAGCCCCTCCCCCCGGGCAGCCTGGCCCAATCAGCCCCTATCAGGGCGGGCTGGCCAGACCCCACCCATGCATGAATTCATGCACCGGGCCTCTAGTATAAATATATATTGTGACATATTATGCATTTCAGTTCTCTATTACATGTTTTGAAATTTTATTTGCTTTTTTTCATATCGCTTCATATTATTATTATTTTTTAGCAATTCCTTAATGATTTCTTCCTCAGTACTTCAACTGTCCTTTCATTCTTTTATTTTTCTCTTTCATGGATGCCATGTTCTTTGGAAGCTTGATAGACCAAGTTAATGGCCTTTTAGGAGTTCACTTTTTTTTTTAATATGTTTTACTGGTTTTATACAGAGAGGAAGGGAGAGGGATAGAGAGTTAGAAACATCTATGAGAGAGAAACACCGACCAGCTGCCTCCTGCACACCCTGCACGGGGGATGTGCCCGCAACCAAGGTACATGCCCTTGACTGGAATCAAACCTGGGACCCTTCAGTCCGCAGGCCGACGCTCTATCCACTGAGCCAAACCGGTTCTGGCAGGAGTTCACTTTTTGAAAAATAAGAATTATTTGTCACGCACGGGGGCTGGGGGGCATCAGAATTTTAGAGACGCTTGGGGGGGCGTGGCCAAAAATAGGTTGGGAACCCCTGTTCTAGAGGCTGAAACCCTCAGCGTCTTCCCTGGACGCACTATGTCAGGTTCCTTACGTTGCTGATAAGTTGCACAATGTCTTCAGTTCCTGACACCTCCTTCCTCACTCGTGCTCCCCCTCGAACCCATGAAGTCAGACTCCTTTCGTGGACTGCACTGACCTCCTGTCGTTTTCCTTCCTCTCCACAGCTTTTGGAAAGAACCAACGGTGGTTTTGAAGAATCGGATCCAGGTGCTACCAAGAGTCCACTCCACTTGGCTGTAAGTGAGATTCTGTGGGCAGCGTTGCTTGTTACAGGAAGAACCAAAGCGTTCCTGAAACAAGGCTGCGCTGACAGTGAAAGCACAGGCGTGCAGAAATAGCTGGCAACGAAAACAGTGCCCGGGCAAAGGCTCAGGCACATCCATTGACACCCACCTCACCACCCTCAGTCACACCCACCAACACGCCCACTGACATATGCACACACACTCTGAATCCAGTGAAATCAGGTTAAAATGTGCATAAGTCTTTGTTCCTGGAGATGGATTTGGAATGGAAAATGTGGGTAGGTAGTGGGATGCTTACATGTAAAAAATTCACACCAGTTGGCTTTTGGTATCGGTTACTCTAAAGGTTGCTCCCTGAAATCTCTGCCCAACCATCGGCTGTGCCTGGGGAAGTTACCCCATCGCTGAGTGTTCACAGACAGCACTAGCCACCCCCAGAGAGGCCTGTTGGAAAGGGTACTTCAGATGGAATCCCGATGCCCTTTGAAAGCGGGGTTGAGTGCACCGCCAAGCCTCCTTCTGATCTGAGAAGAGACTTCTCAGCTTCTAGAAATCCTGTCATCTCTCATTCATTTTTAAAAAGTGATTGTTCAGGTTTTTTTTGCGTGCCTGGTGCTCTGCTAAGCTCTATGGGTTTCCAGTCCTGGAAAGACAGGGTGGGCTTTGGGAGTGAGGAAGTGCATGCAGAGAGGGGTCCCAGCTGCCAGTCTCCTCACTAGTAGCTCATCTGCACCTGGTTTCCCTCCTGTAAATTAAAAGGGGTGAGTTAGTTAAGGATCCCCAAACCCTTTCCAATTTGTTGTATGAGCTTAGCTAAGTATCTAACCTCTTGTGCCTCAGTTTATCCACCCGCCACATGTGGAGAACAGCAGTCCCTTTATCCCAGGGCGGTTGGGGGAATGACATGAGCTAACACGTACAGCAGTGAGAACAGTGCCTGGCGCCTGTGTGCAGCCAGCAGCGTCATCCTCCCCATGGTTAACATGATGTCGGTCTTTCATTGACATGTGCCGACTGTGTCTAGTAAGCACCGTCCCAGGAGCTGGAGCTGTTGCTGTAGGCAAAGCCCGGGCTCTGTCCTGGTACTTTCCAGTCCAGTCCAGGCAAGTGACTGTGGGGCAGGACGGAGGGTGATAGGTGCTGCGTGTGCCCCACAGAGATCAGCGAGACGGGGGTGGAGGTGGCCGGGGCGCCGTTCCATAGCGCAGAGCCTCCCTCCTGCACGGGCACCAGGGCTGCCCACGTGGCTGGCTGACACCTGAGTGTTCTAGGCAGAAGCGCAAAGGTGAGGGCACGCTTGGCAAGTTACCGGAAGAGCCAGAAAACCACTGTGGCAGGGAGAGTGTGGCGTGGGGAGGGGACAAGGCCTGACATGTTGCCGGGGGGCAGGGAGCCGCGCAGGTCAGAGGGCCTCATGCTCTTGGAAGAACTGTGACCTTTCCTTTGAGCAAAATAGGAAGCCCTTTGGGGGAGTCTGAGGAGACAGATGAAGTGATATTACTTTTGTTTTAAAAGTGTGTGGAGTTGGAACTGTAAGGTAGACAAAGCAGAACGTAGACAACCAGGCAAGCAGGATTGAGGATGCTTTTGGCCATGGTGATAGCAGTGGGTTAATCCTAAAACATTTTAGTCGTGCCCTTGAAATGCAAACCGTTTAAAAATATATTATTTGCTTTGCCCTGGTTGGTTTGGCTCAATGGATAGATCGTTGGCCTGTGGACTGGAGGGTCCCAGGTTCCATTCCGATCGAAGGTGCGTGCCCGGGTGGGGAGCTTGCGGGAAGTAGCTGATCAATGATTCTCTCTCATCATCGATGTTTCTCTCTCTCTCCCTCTCCCTTCCTCTCTGAAATCAAAAAAAATATTTTAAAAAATAATAAACACAAATAAAAATATATTATTTGCTTCAAGGACTCCCCAAGGATGCCATCTGCCTGTCCAGGGGCCTCTGAGGCAATTCACTGGATGAAACCCCAGGGCATTCGCTTCTTAGGTGGAAGCAGATGCCCTCCAACCTGCTGGCCACGGGACACCTGACCCATCTGGTTACCATTTCCTGCCTGAATGATCCAAGCCTCCAGGGTGACGAGCCAGGGAGTTCATGGGCATTTTCAGCCACTTGAAAAAATTAAATCAGGAAGCAGGGCTATGCAAATGAGGGCTCCCGCTGCCCAGAGGTCCAGATGGACCCACGGCTGCGCGGATTCTGTGAGGACCCCCAACTTCTTCCTCCTCGGTGTCCTCGGTTCCCATCGAAAAAGTTCAAAGAAATTAATCATGTTCTAAAAATATGTGTTACCTACCGAGATTTAAGGAATTTCGTGAAACAGACGTAAAATGTTTGTTCCCTGCGGCAAAGGCTTACGCTGGGTTGTCTATTGAAAGCCGGCACACTAAGTGCTTTTTGAACCAGCGTGTTTGTTCCTTTGTGAGTTTCTTCCTCCTTTAGTTATTTCAGAAATTATTTGTGGAATTACCTACTGACCGCCTGGTGGAAGATGATGGGAATAGAAAGGAGAATAGGACAGTTTTCAGCGTGTCCTGCTGACTACCGAGTCCCTTTCAGAGAGCTTAAAGCTTTGTTGTCTGCTCTTTCAATAGACCCCAGAAGCCATATAATTGTCTCAAGACTGAATCATGCATTAACCATCAAAGAGAATCCCATAGGGCTAAGCTCTGAAGTGTGAAGATAAATGAACGTTCTGGTCTAGTCCGAGTTACCTTTATTATTCCCCTCCTGTTGCCTTTGACATTTAGTAGTCACTGTGTCTCTTCAGTTCTGTATTGTAATGCAGATGTATGCTAAAATGCAGGAGCTGGAAACAGGGCCAGCGATTTCCAACCTATGGCACACACAAACTAATTCCTAGAATTCTGGAGCACACCAAAAGATGTATTTTTGGCCTCTGTATTTGTTATGGCCTAACAACAACAAAAAATAGGTATATGTTTGATCGATTCACACGGGATGGCTCTTGTGTTTACTGTTGTCATTTTTTATCTGACAATCTAAGGCAGCCATGGGCAAACTACGGCCCCACGGGCCAGATCTGGCCGTTTGAAATGAATAAAACTATTGAAAAAAAAAGACCGTACCCTTTTATGTAATGATGTTTACTTTGAATTTATATTAGTTCACACAAACACTCCATCCATGCTTTTGTTCCGTTTAAGAACCCATTGTGGCCCTCGAGTCAAAAAGTTTGCCCACCCCTGACTAAGGCAAAAGAGGTCAGTGCCCCTGACTAAGCCGTCAGGTATTGCATGTTTTAACAATTCTTGCAGCACACCAGTTAAAAATCGCTGAACTAGTCTAAAGGCAAAAACCAGGATTCTATAGGTAAACCCAGACTTTCAACCATCCTATCTTTAAGAGACGTTTCAAGCTCCTGGTATCGAAGGAAGTATGGGGTGGGATTCTGAGGCTTCTCTAACTGCCAGCAGGGCTCCCTCTGTCTTATTTTGACATTAAGCCTCTTTAGGTTGGACACAGGCTAATGGGTTTAGCCGTTGCTGTGAGGTTTAAAGGGCCTCTTGGAGGAGATGAGTTCGTACGTCAGCACCCAGCTTATGTGCCTGTGGTGCCCCTGCGATGCCTCCGCGCCCACTGCCTTCCTGAGTCTGTCTCTGTGTCTTCTGTAGTAAATCTAACGTGTTTGCTGTCATGCTTCATAGATATGCATGTGCTTTGTAAGCCGCCGGTTCTATTTTCTGAGACTGTCGTACTGACAAACGTGAACATGTTCTCTGTTTTTGTCTCAGAAGTAACAGGCCTGGAAGGACCACCATTTGCAAATGGCAACTAGATCCTCCTGTTACCCACGTGGAGTCCTTTCCCCGGGTGTGACGTCAGGATGTCCACATGAGCAGAATCAGTTGCTGCCATTACAATTTAAATGTTTTTATTGATTTCAGAGAGAAAGAGAGAGGGAGGGAGGGAGGGAGAGAGAAACATCAATGATGAGAGAGAATCGCTGGCCGGCTGCCTCCTGCATGCCCCACACTGGGGATCAAGCCCCCAACCCAGGCATGTGCCCTGACCAGGAATCTAACCGTGACCTCCTGGGTCACAGGTTGACGCTCTACCACTGAGCCACGCAGTTGGCTGGGCCCTGCCATTACAATCTATTTATTTATTTATTTTAATTTAAATTCTTTATTGTTTTAAAGTATTACATAAGTCTCCTTTTCCCCCCATTGACCTCTCCCTGGCCGCCCCCACACCCCAGCACGTGCCCTCACCTACCTCCCCCTATCTGTGTCCATTGGCTTTGCCCATATGCATGCATACGAGTCCTTCGGTGGATCTCTTACCCCCTCACGCATTACAGTGTAAAGTGAGAGGAAGTGTTATGCAAAGTCAGTTTTCAAATAAGCCACGGACTCCAGCCCTGGGTGAGATAGATTTACACCCTGATGTCGATGCTCCTGTTACCACAGCCGCTCAAAGCCACCTCCGGCCTGAGTCAGTGGTGGCAGAGACCAGGTGATGGGGACATGGGAATCCATCCCACCAGCCTATCTGCTTGGCATAGTTGGAATTGTCCTGTAATAAAAAGCTAAAGAAACAAAGCCGTTGGCCCTGTGGCGCCCATTCCATGGCAGCTCATGCCAAGGCCCCAGCCGGGCCTCAGGGTCCGTGTGCTCTGAGTCCCAGCTCCACATGCGAGACCGTGTGACCGCGGGCGGCTTGGCCCATGTCCCTGTCCTTCCGTGTCCTCGTGGGTCAAGTGGGGATCACGATAGCATTCAGACCATGGGTGGCCGTGACAGTTACAGGAGGCGCTGCCTGCCCAGTGCTGCCTGGCTCAGAGCAAAGGCTCAGTCCAAACGCTTCAGAGTTGAGTTTAGACTGAAGGCCCGGGAGCCTCTGCAGTTACGGTTTGCACAGCAAGTCCAGATCCTAAAGGTGGTGCAGGGATTCGGGTTCTCCGTCTCAAGAAAGGCCGTGTGCAGTGTAGGAGCCACGGCCTGGACGTTCCGAGCGCAAATCTTGCTTCATCGCTCGTTCGGGGCACTTCCCCTGACGCCAGGCCTTCCAGGGAAGAGTGTAGTTTCTGATCCAATGCTTGTTAATCAGCTCTCCGCACCGGAACACGTAGAGACAAAAGTATTTTGTCTGAAAGTCACTTCAGTGGAATTACTGGGGGGAAATGATAAGACGTTGCCTGAAAGCATAGGTTTTCATGGTCTCAGATTTGGGGTTTCAAATCCCGACTCTGTCATGTACTAGCTAAGTGCTGTTGAGTCAGTGAACATTGCTGGTTTCATTGTTTTATTCATCTATAAAAAGGATGCTTGCAGCGATTAAATGAGAGGCTATAGCTGGAGTGCTCAGCACAGTGCCTTCAATAGTGCTATTTAAAAAACATATTCCACCCTGGCCGGCTCGGTTCATTGGGTAGAGTGTCGGCCTGTGGACTGAAAGGGCCCAGGTTCGATTCCAGTCAAGGGCATGTACCTGGGTTGCGCGCACTTCCCCAGTGGGGGATGTGCAGGAGGCAGCTGATCGATGTTTCTCTCTCATCGATGTTTCTAACTCTCTATCTCTATCTCTCTCCTTTCCTCTCGGTAAAAAATCAATAAAATGTATTAAAATAAATAAATAAATAAATAAAAATATATTCCAAAAAATACTCAGAGGAAACAATTTAAATAATTTTAAAAAAGATAAGGTGAAAAATGTCCATATGTTCATTACTTTACTTTTCGTTTCTAGAAGTTCACAGTTTCTCTCCTAATCTTCTAAAATTTGCTATAAATATAGAAGTATACATATAAAGACATGTATATATCTGGATAAATTTGCTTTTTTTGTATAAATGAGGTCATGTTCTATACAGTGTTTGCAACTTAGTATTTTTTTTTATTTGATAGGTTTTGTCAAATTGCTCTCCACAAATGTCACACCAATCTATATTCCCACCAACAGAGCATAAGATTGCTTTTTCCACCGCTCTTAACTAATACAGGACATGGACAAACTTAATCATTGCCAATCTGGTAGTTAAAAAATAGTACCATAAAATATACATTTTTTTCATATGTTCACTGACCTTTTCTTTTTATGTGAGCTGCCTCTTTATGCCCTTTGCACATTTTCTAGTTTTTAAAAATGCTTTGTAAGAGCTCTTGTTATATTAAGGAAACTAACCTTTTCCTGTGCTGAGCCCCTTTTCAAATAAATGGTGCCTGAGTAATCACCGTGGCAGAAACATGGAAGGTGCCGGAGACCAAAGAGGGGACTTGGGCTGAGGACTCTGAAGAATGGACTTCCCTCCGTCTCTCTCACCTCCCTGCTCCTCCCTGTCCCTGCTCTCTGGATTCCTACACCTTTGCTTTTCTTTATTTCAATGTCCTTTCTCTTGTGTGTACATAGATGCTTTTCATAGACTTAATAAAAATCAGCTTTCAGACTTTTATTTTTTAGTATGAAGGCTCTTCCTCTTAGCACAGCGTAGGGCCTCATAATAGGTCAGAACTTGGTGCTGCTACACAGAATGTTTTTCCACACTTTTGTCTCTGTTTTCATTGTAATCCGTGGAGGGAGTAAAGGGGAGAGGAGGAAGCATCAACTGTGTACACGGTATGATGCAAAGTCTGGGCGATTTTATCTCTCTCTTTTTTTAATCCTCCTTGTGAGGCACCTTTTATTGCTCTCCTTTTATAGACAAGGAAACAAACTAAGTGAAATTAAGAGACTCACCCAGGGTCACGTGGCTAGAAATGAAAATATTCAACCGCATCAAGGTCTCTACACCTCTGTTGAATTATGAAGACCACATGTTTTTGGTAACCTTTTGCTCCAGGTTTAAAAGAATAATCTTTTAAACGGGGGGAAAAAATTAGATCATGTCAGTATGGTTGGCCTGAGCGGGCAGATATAAGAATATATTAACTCATTCAGCTGCTGGTTTGCATTGGGAGAGTAGATCGATAGATACAAATACATGAACCCATTCATACATTCAGTGCCTCTGGGGCAGATTATTTGACAAAAGAGAAAGGGCACGAAGGAATCCATACATAGCCGTGAGTTTCATGCATTTTGATTTTTCAATCTAATTCTTTGGTTTCCTGTTTTTTTGTTTGTTTGGTTGGTTTTTTAAAAATATATTTTATTGATTTTTTACAGAAAAGAAGGGAGAGGGATAGAGAGTTAGAAACATTGATGAGAGAGAAACATCCATCAGCTGCCTCCTGCACACTCCCTACTGGGGATGTGCCCACAACCAAAGGTACATGCCCTTGACCAGAATCGAACCTGGGACCCTTCAGTCCGCAGGCTGACGCTCTGTCCACTGAGCCAAACCAGTTAAGGCTGGTTTCCTGTGTTTTGCTTTATCCCGAGTGTCTGTCTGACGTGCTCCTTAGGGTGGCCTCTGACTGTGACCTTGGAGGCTGCGCCCCTCGCTGGGAGAGCGGTGGGGTCCGAGGCGAGCGAGCACTCGTGTCACTGGCTTCCCCTTTGCAGGCCTACAATGGGCACCACCAGGCCCTGGAAGTGCTCCTGCAGTCCCTGGTGGACCTGGACATCCGGGACGAGAAGGGCCGCACCGCTCTGGACCTGGCTGCCTTCAAGGGCCACACGGAATGCGTGGAAGCGCTGATCAACCAGGGCGCGTCCATCTTTGTGAAAGACGATGTCACCAAAAGGACCCCACTTCACGCCTCAGGTGGGTCTCGCCCAGAGAATGGTTAGCGTTTTTGCGGCCGACTCGTAAGCTGAGAAAAAGGTTGGCAGCATCTTCTTCCATCCCAATTTTTAAAACATTTTCTTTCTGCATCAGGCATGCCTACACCCTTCCAAAACCCTTGGCTTCCCATCCCCGTGGAAGTGATCGGTGTTCTCTGACCAGTTGGGCCCTGGGATCTCCTTTAAAGATGTATTTTTTTAGAGCAGTTTTAGGTTCACAGCAAAATTGAGAGGAAGGCACAGAGACTTCCCACCCACCTCCTGCCTCCCTATGCATAGCCTCTCCCATTATCAACATCCCACGAGAGTGGTACATATATTACAATTGATGAGCCTACATCGACACCTCATCCCCATCCTAAGTCCATAGTTTCCATTAGGGTTTACTCTTGCTGTTGTGCATCCTATGAGTTTGGACAAATGTAGAATGATATGTATGCATTACTACAGTATCATACAGAGTACAATACTATAAATCCAGCTCTAATAATCCTCCGTGCTCTATCTGGTCTTAACTCAAAGGAGAGTGCAGAGCCTTTGGCCAATACTCATCACAAAACACTCTGAAAAAGGGCAAGGCCTACTGTGACCTTCAGATAAGTCACATAGAACAAAATCACACAGCATTTTAAAGTGGGAAATTCATGACGTTTCAGGGCTGTTTCATAAAAGGAGTCATCAGACAGCGGACTAATCAGCGCACCATTCTGCCGGCCTAAATGATGCCTCTGAGCTTTTGCTCTGATTCTTGGTGCATCGGGTGTAAAAAGAGACTCTTAAAAAGTGCATGTAGATATCAAAAAGGAACTAATTGTCTTTTTCTGGGATTTTTCTCTAATACACATACAATCACACTGTATGTATCAGGACCCTGCTAGAGGTACACACAGACATAAAGTGATGGGGAGAGCCTCTAGCTCAGTGAGAGCATATATTCCTTTGGAGTCGGGGATTCAATGATATCTGCCTTTGATCAGGATCGTAAATATTGTCTTATGATGAGAAATAACTGTCTTATACCATTAAATGAGTGTATTGAAGCAGCAAAGAGTGAAGATGGTTTTCCAGTAGATTTAATGATCTTGTTGGGAAAATTTTATCAGAATGTTAGACTTTGTAGAAGAATTTCCACCTACAATCCTGAATTTCCAAACCACTGAAGAAAAACAATGTGGAGTAGAAAAGAAACACAAAACATGGCTGTGGCCTAATTACCTGGAAACAATTATTCCTGGGGGGAAAAAACTTTAGCCAGGAGGTCAGCAGTAGTTGGTTAAAGTGCAGTTCTTATTTTTTACCCACATTCATTTTTTTTTTGGTATTGTTGTAAAGCATTATACAGTTTGAGATTCTAGACATCCTTGGCATTATTCTAAAGTTCAAATTTAGTTCTTTAAAAATATTGGTAGCCTACTCTTAAGGCAAGCACCCCATCTTAGTTACCAGGTACTCCCTGACAACGACAAAGGGCCTCTTTTCATTGTGGAGAATCGCTCTTGTAAACAGTGAACCATGAAAAAATAACCATGGTCACTCATTTGCCACTGCATAGGTTATGGTCCAATGGAGCCCCCTCGTGGTCAAGCCGACTCACTCCTTTTTGGATGTCCTGCAAGTCATTCATTGGGCAACACAGGCTGTCATTGGACTCTGTTCTCCACAAAGTGTCTGCTGTGTGCAAGCTTTAGCCCGTGCTTTCAGAATCTGCTTACCCTGAATCTCTTCCAACTCATTTGAAAGGCCAACTTTTTGTTGTTGTTGTTTCAAATCCTGGGAATTCTGTGAGGAGCAGGAGCCAGAATGGATGTCAGAGGTTTGGGCACAGCTAGTTGCAATGGCAGTTGCGGTCTTTGAGCAGCGGAGGCGGGCTAGTCTAAGACAAAGCTGGACTTGGCCCCGCACAGCCAAGGAGATGTTAGCCATTGGGGAAACGGAGAGTGTGGGGAGCCAACAGGAATTCCACTTTGGCTGCACTTTTCCACGAAGGGGGCCTTATACTTACCTGAGGGCTATTGGCTCAGTCCAAAAAGCAGTACCCTCCCCCCGCAACAACAACAACAACACACACTACTGTGGGTACTGGTTTGCTCCGCAACACACTGGCTCAGTGATAGGAACTTAGATGATTTTTCCCTTTTTCTGTTTAGCCAAAAACCAAATATCCTTGGAGCCTGTAAAGGAGGTCAAGTTGATGAAGAAGGAGGCATCAGTCACACTCCCCTGACCCTCCCTCTGCGTTGGGGACCCATTGCCATAGCATTTAGCTCCCACTCCTCTGCCCATCCTTTCCTTTTAAGCATACAGTAAGCTGCTCGCCTACAGGCGGTACAGCGGTAACAGGTTGAATGCACTACTAAAACAAAGAAAACAACCCAATGGCAACCACAATACAATGCCTGTGTTCCAGTCCCCAAATTTCCTCCTGAGATACAGAAATGTACCTGAGAATGAGCTGAGAGCAGCGGTCCACAGAATGTGGGCATTATTCCTGTGTCTCAGCTGAGTGGTGTCGATGAACGTGAGCTCATTCTAACATGTATTGTCCCTGAAAAACATGTCATTGAATTAGCATTCTCTCCGACTGGCATTCGATAAAAGGACTGTAAAGTGCAGCTCTTCCAAGAGCCCTCATTAACCTAACGTAGCTGCATCTACATCTATTCCTTCTCTCTCCGCATCCATGTGGAGGCAAATGCAATGCATGCTAGTGTCCTCACCATTCAGAGAGGAGAGAAGGTCACGATGGAAAACGTACACATTGCTTGTCCTCAGCCTACTCCCCGAGTGGAAGCCATGTCTGTGTGAGGCTGTGGGAGGCAAACTGGAGGGGGGAGCTGCTCCCGCCCAACTGTCCTCCTGGGAGGCTGCCTCCCAGCACCCGGAGCACCCACCCTGCAGGAAGCATCGCGCCTGGTGCGCATAAGTGTAACCAGTAAGGGGTCCGGGTTGCCTGTCCCTGCTTGAGCCAATGAAGCAGAGACAGGGCTGCATCATATATGAGCATTTATTCCAATACTGCCAGCAGCATGGGGAGCAGCAGGTCATCCACAAAAATCTGCACCCCCCCAAAACCAGCTGCTTCTATTGGGTAGAAGGACAAAGCTTACATGGGAAGTAGGCAAAAGGGTGTGCCAAATGGGCAGTTTGCAGGTAACAATGGCTGGGGATTTGCAAAGGCCTGCGGCATGGCACGCACAGGCTGGGGGTCATCACAGGGCTGGCAGCTCTGGTTTCTGCAACAAGGCTGTTCATCTTCCCATGACAACAGGCCGCTGCCGATGGGGAGGGGGCTGCATTTCCAGGTGAGCTCCCAGGGCCCATGTGCAACCAGCCGGGTCAGAATGTGCCTTCTTTCATCAGAACAATCCAATCCCGGTGAACAGGGCATGATTCATATTTCTTACAATGACAGCTGGTCCCCAATATTCTACTTCTGCCCCGTCATAGGGTGTCATGTGATGTGCCCGAGCTGGTCCAGGCCAGCAGCAGTGTCCTGGCTGCCTCTCTTGCCCCTTGCCAGCCCTCACTGTGACCGCTGGTGATTAGGGGTGAGGACCCGCAGCACCTGGGAAGTGGCAAGGAGACCTCTGCAGGGGAAGGGAGGGGAGGGGAAGGGAGGCCAGGGGACCAGGAGTGTGAGGCTGATGGAGAGCCCCACCCCCCCCTGCCCTTCCCCCTGCATGCATGAGACACTGTCAGGCTGTGGTTTGAGGAACTCTGGGACAGAGGTGCCCCTGCAGGCAGCCCATCCAGGCTGTCAATCAACGAGCAGTGAGTGGGCAGCCTCTGTACACCTCCCCGGCCTGAGGGTTTGCTCTCAGTCACTGCGCGTCAATCAGAACGGTTACTTGGATGCCTGCAGAATGTACAGTGACGGAGGGAATATTAGCAGGACCTGTTCGATTTCTCCCTTCCTCTTCTCGCCTCTCCTCTGCTTCACCTCTTCCCTATTCCCTCCTTCCATCGTATTCCTGCTCCCCTCTCTCCCCTCCACTCCCCTCTCCTGTCCTTTCTTCCTTCTTTGTAAAAAGGTCTGAAGGCAGGCAAGACACCGGATTACATAGTACCATTGTGTGACTCTCTCAGAAGAGCAAAAGGAACTGGGAAGTAGGGAGAAATGAAAAAAAGAGATTTGAAAAAAAGGACATCATATTTAAGGGAAAATTACCCTCAGGGCATGAACCAGGGACCTGTTCGGTAAGGACCACGGGGCCCTGCTGGGGAGAACGAGAAGATGGATGAGTGAAGTCAGCCTCGGGGCTCACTGAGCCGGCAGCTGGTATGACCTGGAATGTGGGGACAGCAGACTGGAGCCCAAGCAGACTTCATCTGGAGGGCTGTGTGTGCTCGTGTGGGTCTGTGAACAGAATGCCGTTCTTCTCTCTTCCAGTGATTAACGGTCACACCCTGTGTTTGCGGCTGTTACTAGAAATCGCAGACAACCCGGAAGTGGTTGACGTGAAAGATGCCAAAGGACAGTAAGTGTCCCCCTGGGCCGGGCCGGCGGTTCATTTCGGTCACGGTGGGTGATGGCTGGTTGGTTAGCCGCTGGGAGGGCTGGTTGCTGAGCTTGAGGTTGCGGGGTACGTGTTTGGGTGAAATGCACTGGCTGGGGACCCCGGAATAACAAGGTAGCTTCGTGTCAGAGTGTATGCAGGGACGGCAGAAGTAGGGCTACGGTTGCTCATATGGAAAAAGACGCAGCTTATGATGATTACAGTAGCTCTATTAACTCTAAAGAATGTCACAACAGGACTTAGATTCTAAGTGCAGTGTGTGTGTGTGTGTGTGTGTGTGTG